AGACTGTCCAGAAGATGGTGGTAACTTATAAAGATTGGCATGGAATGCTTTCGTTTGCTCTGCATGGATACCGTACTTCAGTTCGAACTTCAACAGGTGCAACCCCATTTTCCCTAGTTTATGGCATGGAAGCAGTACTCCCCGTGGAGGTTGAGATTCCGTCTATGAGAGTGTTGATGGAAGCTAAACTTTCTGAGGCTGAATGGTGTCAAAGTAGATATGATCAGTTGAATTTAATTGAAGAAAAGAGATTGACAGCATTGTGTCACGGTCAATTATATCAGCAGAGAATGAAGAAGGCTTTTGATAAGAAGGTTCGACCACGCGAGTTCAGAGAAGGTGACCTTGTGCTCAAAAAGATATTATCTTTCCAACCTGATTCTAGGGGCAAGTGGGCTCTGAATTATGAAGGACCGTATGTCGTTAAGAATGTTTTCTCTGGAGGTGCCTTAATTCTCACAAATATGGACGGTGAAGAGCTCCCGCGCTCCTTGAACGCCGATGCAGTCAAGAAATATTTCGCTTAGGTTTGAGTTGACAGTTTGCTAAGTTGAAAACCCGAAGGGGCGGCTTAGGCAGGCTTTTAGTCATCCCGGCTGTGGCATATGAGCACATTTCGGAATTCGAAGTTGTTAGGGAGAATAGTGATCATTGTTTTTGTGTAACCCTTTCTTTCATGTACTATTTCCCAAACTTTTGTAAACCGTTGGAGTCGCGTTGTTAGCGAACTACCATCTTATTAATGAAATTTGAGCATTTACCTTTTGTGGGCAAAATTTTAATTTTACGGAAATATTTGAAACAAAGTTATTTAAAGTATTCTTATTTTAAAAATGTGTCGTGAATAATGAAAGGGATATTAACTGTTGTTCCGAGGATGGTCAAGCCATGAAATGCAAAACAATACAGTAATTTATCCTTGCATGATGAACATGTTTTATTTCAAAATCGTCATGAGGTGTTGGTTGTGTAAACTTGCGTTTCTCGTGGTACTAAGTTTGGTGACTCCCCAGTTTTTCCAGTTAAGCGTTGTTTTGGTTGTCTTTATTTGGGCGATTTCTAAAGTGTGGTACGCTTTGTCTCATGCCAGTGGTCTATTGGTATTAGAAGATTGGATTTGAATACTTTTCTCCTCAGAAGACTTGAGCCTTGTAGTGTGATACGCTCTGACGTTGCTTTGTGGTCCCAGTTCCATTTATTTTCCGTCTTTTAAGATTGGCCGAGTATCTATTATTTCGTGACATCTTATCGTCTTCAAGATATTCCATCTGTTTGTTTTGTCAGCATAACATTCATTTACCCATTTACACTTATATCACGCATGCATATTCACACTTGTCGTTGATTTTGGGTTGTATACTTTGTTTATTCAAACAGCGTACATGTTTCTTTCCAAGTAGATTGTTAACTTAGGCAGAAAATGTGCTTCCTTTCTAAATTCCCCAACTGAGCTAATCCTCGTGGATGATTTTTTGATTTAGCCTACCTTGTCCATTTCTGGATAGGATGAATCCCCCGATCAAGTTACTTTCTCATTAGGTGGAGTTTTGTTTGACTGTTTTCTCTCTGGTTTATTCCTGGAGGAAGTTGTTGTCTCTTGCATAGGCTACCTCATGATTTTCCCCAGTGAAGTCGCGACCTAGACGAATGGTGCATTTATTTTGCACATTTAAGTATTTTACCTCCTCAGGAAGGATCTATTCATGATTCCCTTTGAAAAAGAATTTTATTCTCTGGCAGTGTTATCGTAACTTTCTTCTGAAATATTTTTTGGAAAACGGCAAGCGGCAGTCTCTTCATGAGCAACTTGTACGTTATAGACATCGTTAGAAAACGACAAGCGGCGGTCTCTTCGTGAGCAACTTGTGCGTTATTATTATTTTTGGAAAACGACAAGTGGCAGTCTCTTCATGAGCAACTTGTACGTTATAGACATCGTTAGAAAACGACAAGCGGCGGTCTCTTCATGAGCAACTTGTGCGTTATTATTATTTTTGGAAAACGACAAGCGGCGATCTCTTCATGAGCAACTTGTGCGTTATTATTATTTTTGGAAAACGACAAGCGGCGGTCTCTTCATGAGCAACTTGTACGTTATTATTTTTGGAAAACGACAAGCGGCGGTCTCTTCATGAGCAACTTGTGCGTTATTATTATTTTTGGAAAACGACAAGCGGCGGTCTCTTCATGAGCAACTTGTACGTTATTATTTTTGGAAAACGACAAGCGGCGGTCTCTTCATGAGCAACTTGTACGTTATTATTTTTGGGAAAAAAGGCAAGCGGCGGTCTCTTCATGAGCAACTTGCGCGTTATTGATATTTTTTCTAGAATACAGCAAGTGGCGGGTTCTTTATTTGAGCAACTTGTATGTTATTGGTATTTTTCTGGAATACAGCAAGTGGTGGCTTCTTTATTTGAGCAGCTTGTATGTTATTGGTATTTTTTTGGAAAACAGCAAGTGTCAGCTTCTTTATTTGAGCAGCTTGTATGTTATTGACATCCCTGGACGACAGCAAGTGGCGGCTTCTTTATTTGAGCAGCTTGTATGTCATAGTATTTTTGGAAGACAGCAAGTGGCAGCTTCTTTATTTGAGCAGCTTGTATGTCATAGTATTTTTGGAAGACAGCAAGTGGCAGCTTCTTTATTTGAGCAGCTTGTATGTTATAGTATTTTTGGAAGACAGCAAGTGGCGGCTTCTTTATTTGAGCAGCTTGTATGTTATTGACATCTTTGAACGACAGCAAGTGGCAGCTTCCTTATTTGAGCAACTTGTGTATCTACAACCATATTATTATTTCAGCATTAATTAGTATATCTCCGGAAATCTTGCAGAGAAGTTTGTTATGAATCTTTACCTTCAGAAGTCGGTAATCCGTTGCCAGCAAAATTTGGTCCATCTTTTGTCTATCTTTGACCTTGAGTTGTGAACTCACTGTTATTTTGGGTCAATAATCTGTTTTTGTGGCCTATGCAAGATGCCTTCTTTGTTAGGGTCAGAGGTCGTATTCTCTCAAATTTTTATTCGCCGCCAAGAGTCTATCATTTGAAGTCGATGGCTCATTTCCCCAGTAGTGTATAATCTATGTTCCTGTGTTTTGTTGGTGTTTGGTTTCTCCAGGATTATCTTGTCTCATACAATATCATTCTCTGTGAATTTAAATACTACATTCATATCACAAACATAATGGCGGTATCTTAGGGCAAAAATTGCGTATTATGTATTTAAGTACCTTCAATCTCGCCGAGACGAAGATTTTAATCTTCATATCTCCGGATAGAAGAAACTTAAATAGGGGCAGCTGTCATACCCCAATTTTTGACCTAAGATATCACCTCCCATCAGCATTATTACATAGCAAGCGTTCACAAGCGATTCGACCTATTTTTGCCATTTCTCGAGTCAGGTTTCAAAAATTCATAACTTCTTTAAATTTCGACATTTTTAAACAATTGTTTTTTGCACATGATTTTCCTTGACGTTATCTACAACTTTTCTTTACAAGTCAAGGGCAAATTATGCATTGAAAAACAACGAAAGAATGAAAACGTTAGAAGTCGCTTTATGAATTTAATGAAATTTGATCATGTCTTGTCCAACCTTTACCAAATCATACATATTTTTTCGTCTTTTATTTATCATTTTTGTCTTATTTGAAAAAAATCTAAAAAATGTGTATTTTGGTTCATGTCACTTTTTGATATCGCATTATTAGAAAATCATAAAAATATTTATAATTAGCTTTATAGTATTTTAAATTCACATTTCTTAATTCAAAAAAAATATCAAAAAATTATTATAGTTTTATTGGTTTCATTTAGATTTTTATTTTAGTATAGATTTTAATCCAAAGAAAATCGCAAAAATGTAGTTAATATCTTTTTCCTTTATTTTACATTTTTTGATTATTTTTAGACATTATAGTTTTAGTTTCTTTTAATCTAATACCAAAATTAAAATTAAAATAATTATATTTGTATCTTATTTTTATTATTATTATTATTATTATTATTATTATTCTATTTTTGTATTACTAATAATTTACCTTTTATCATTATTATTACTATTGTCTTTGTTTATTTATTTTTATGTCCAATAAAGTTGCGGTCCCAAAACCATATTTTTGAACATGGAAAACCAGTCCCTATCCTTATTGTTTGCTACACTCCAAAGCCTGCTGCCCACAAAACAGTGTTGCTGCCCTGCTATGTATCAGTCCAGAAATTTCACTAAATTAGAAAAATAGAAAACTTGTAACAAAAAGTCACAAATCAGAGTATTAAATCTGTTCAAAAACTCACCATTTTTTCCCTCTGATTCTATCATACATTCAATATAAAAAACACAAAGAATAGATATAAAAAAAATGATAATTTCGTCCAACAATCTTCATTCTTCAACAACACCAGCATAAAACAACACCTGCATAATACAACATAAAAGACAGCAACGTGATACTGCTAACTCTCGATAAAGATATCAAGGAACAAGAAACAGAAGCTTATAAAATCAACATATACCTCAACAATATTCGACGAAAATCTCCTCGTCATAGGTAACTCGTTTTCCTGCTCCCGATTTTCGTCATAGCTATGTTGTTGTAGTTCGATGTTATATTTCCGAGTATGTATGCTTATTTGTTGCTATTCCGAGAATTTGTCATTGTTATTATATGTTTCGATAATCCCATATGCCTCTTTTGTTGTTTCTGAAACAACCAAAACCACAGAGAGTTTTTAGCAGAGAGTTTTTAATAGAGAGTTTTTAGCAGAGAGTTTTTAACAGAGAGTTTTTAACAGAGAGTTTTTAGCAGAGAGTAAAACCAAAGGAAAACTGAAAAAAAAGAGTTTTTATTGACAGATAGAGCGAACCTTCACAAAGTGATACTACTCAGAACAGAACCCTTCATATCAACACTCTCTTTCTCCATGCACACAAAACCCTTTCAGATCCAACATAATCACTACCCATTCCTTCAAAACCCTCATCACTTCTTTCTTTATTTTCTTGAAAAATTTATCGATCCTATGATGTTAATTCGTCCATTGATTGCTTGAACATGCTTCTGTTTATCATTGAACCTGAAACAAAATTCCCAAATACATGTTGAGCCAAAACTTGAACCGTGAAAAGGTTTGAGTATTGTTTTGTTGTTACAAGAACAATAAGCGAGAGATAGAGAGAGTGATACACAGAGGTTGCATTGATGCAATTCAGAGAGAGTGAAAAACCGTAAATCAGCAGCAAAGAGGGCTACCGGCTTGAAGGCAGAGGAAGAACCGCGAGTGTTGAATCAGCGTCGAAAGTTGGATTGGGTGAGTTAGAAGAATGAACGATAGAGGTAGATCGGCGGCGGAACCGTCGGAGTTGAAGAGGAAGGCGGATCGTCATTTAAGGAGATGGTGGTGTTGATACGGTTGACAGAGAAAGGATCGATACAATCTTTAATATTTGTTTCAATTCTCTATTTAATTTATTTTATTGGAAAATGATATAATAATAATTATAATAAATCTGAATGTTCCCTTTACCAATTCCAACAGCAGCGGCGGCTTATCTTGAGGTGTACTAGGGTTTCTTTTTTTCTCTCCTAATCCATAACCCGGTTGGCCCATTGGGCCCGTTTGGCTTAGCCTTTTTCTAGTTCCTTTCCTTATAATTTATTTGAGTTGTAGATATAACAGAAAGTGTTAACAGTTTAATTGGCAAGGCATATTACCTGCAATCTAAAGGTCTTGAGTTCAAGTCCTTGAGAGGTTCTTTTTTTTCTCTATCTTTTATTCTTTTGGCCACTTCCCTTTTATTTAGACATACTTAATTAATCATAAATTTAGTTTGCCGTAAATTATTAACTATTATAAAAAACACATAAAAAATGTTTAATTAAAATTCATCTTTATTTATTTTTGTCAAAATACTATTTAATTCTTATTTTTATTTTGTGTTGTTGCTTATTTAATTATTCAAAAAATACATGTTTCATGATTTAATTTTTGTCATGTGTTTAATTATTTAAAATCTATGATTTAATCTTCATGTACTTTTGGTTATTTATTTAATTGCTAAAATGCATGCTAGTATAATTTAAATTTCATTAGTTAATTGTTTAATTATAATTTTAATTAATTGATCGTTAATCCGCATATCTTTCGTCCGTTTCAATCCAAGGGAATTGTTTAATTTTTCCGACTTCATGTCATCAAACATATAGCGCGAATACCCTCATTCATATTCCGTTTATTATTTTGTTAAAAAAACTTAAGATAATTTCCCCAAATATTCAATTTTTCAAAACTCCTACCTTTTAAGTCAAAACTTCGACGTTAGTTCGTCGTGTTTTCGAAAACTCGTCCAATACCCATCTTCGGCCAAACAATTTATTTTTAATCAAACAAACATTTTTTTAATAGACAAATATTTCAAAAGGTTCCTATAGAATACTATAGATACATTGGGTGCTAATACCTTCCCATTGTATAACCAACCCCCGAACTCTAGACCTCTTTTCAAAAACGCCTTGTATTTTCATTACTTTTAAAAGTAACTTTACATTGCATACTTTAGGGTTTTATTTCTCTCTTTCCCCCTTTCCCTTGGAAATATTAAAGCGCGGTGGCGACTCTTGCTTTTGTGAGACGAATTAATTAATAATTCGATCTCCGATTTACCCCGCTACATTTTTTATCGCTACACTTATGTGTACACAAAATCTTAGATTTGCTTCAAATTTGGAAAGGTTTTCAATGGTGGTCAATCAAATCTCCAAACTTCAATACACAAAGATACAAGCCCAAATTTTGACCTAGACTGATTGCCTTATACATATACAAGAAGCCTAAACCTAATTCACGACAAAAGCATTGCTAAAACGGCCAAGGCAAAACTGAAAAATTGTTGGAAAAGTGGGAGATCAAGAACAGGATTGCAGGCGTTTTCAGACCAAAAGGAGCACGTAGCCTTCATCCTTGATATCCACTGAAGCTAAAGCAATCACAAACACGTCCTGAGACCACCTACAAAGCGCTGTAAGTCATCACGAAGTCACCCCTGGACATGGAATCGTGATCTTCTATTTTTGCACTTTTTCTTCAAAGCATTAGCATAATCATGTTTATTGTTCGATTTCTAACATAATTGCAATAGCCAATCTTTGTTTTTAGGCCCTGAATCGTGATACCCGATTCTAGGGTTCATGTTCTTGCGTTTTAGGGGTTTTTGGTACAGGGCGAATTGGACCCAATAATGGGGATAGAGATGATCAGGGGACAAGGACGGACATGCCCATGGTCTCAGGTGGCGTTTTCATGGCCTGAGGACAACTTTTGAAGCGATCTACGAAACCTCCTACGGATAAAAATCTGCAGGTAACTGAACCAGGATGTTAGTGAAGAAGATGATGATGTATCTTCCTATCACTGGCCCATTCAAATCAAAACTCGCGCATTTTTTTTTGTTTCCAGGTTATCGCTCTTTATTATATATAATATTAATTGCCTATTGTTATAATGAATGGAACGTGTTGGCTGAGTGGTTGGGAAGGCATGCATATGTTCATTGGGACCTGGGTTCGAATCCCAGGTCCCCCAAAACCTTTGTGCTATTTTGTTTCAGGGAATTATGTGCAATACTCCCAGCGAGTCTCACCATACGCCTCATCCAGATGCACGCCAAGTGGTCTCAGGTTCAGATCTAATGGTCAAAAGATGAAGGACCATCATAGTCTCCAGTCAACAGGCGTATGGACGAACCAAAAAGTCAAATAGGCTGGAATATTGATTGGGCCAAGGATTTCCAAAGACACCTTCAGATCTGGCCCAAACCCCCCCCCCCTGGGTTTGCATTTTATTTTTTATTTTCTTTCATTCATTTGCTTTATTTATTTTTATTGTTTTTAATTAATTATTAACCAGCAAATTAATTAACTTTTTCATAATAAATTCAGAACACATAAATGAAATAATCTTTTATTAATTAAATTTAATTATTATTTTTGTAAATAAAGTCTAAATATAATTAATTTAGTTAATTAGGTTAACTTTAATTTTCTTCCACAATAAATAAAATTAATATAGAAATTAGGGTTTTACTAACTTTTGACTTTATTTTATTTTTATTTTATTTTCATTAAAACATAAAAACTAAAAAAAATACTTTTTCTTTTAATTAATTGATTAATTAGTTTTAGGATTAATATTTAATTAAATGCAAAAAGGACCAAACTTCTTTCTTTTCTCAAAAAGGGTCAAAACCCTAAAGACTTTCCCGACTCAATTTCTTTGCGCATACTTTGTTATTTTTGATCATATTTTTGTATCTGCTCCGAGAATGTAATAGTTAATTAGGACTTTTATCGCTTTCTTTAATTTCCCGCATTTATCTTTTCCAAAGGGTTATGTTTTTGGCGATGTAAATACCCGACGACTTGTAATAGCGTAGATTCAATTTTCCGCAATTTACTTTCGGCACAAATATTAACTGTTAATTATGCATGCAAGACTTGTCTGAAAAATAAAATCAACTCGCAGCTCACAATGATACATGTGCAAAGATAACATAAACTGAATCCTGACACACATGCACATGCCACTCCTAGGGTACGCCTCCCTTGGTTGCCTCGACGTGGTCGTTAAGTATAGGGTGTTTTAGAGGTCGCCCTCCTGTCTAAAGATCCAGTTGCCTCGAAATGGTTGCCTCGGATAAAAAGGATCTAGGACATTAGGGTTACCGCTAAGGCTTCCTACCATTGCTTTGGTGACCACATTGTCCCTATAATCGAATTGACCCGAATAACTCCAACGACGGTGCTACCTACTTCTCAGTAGTGGGATAGTACTGTCTAAAGGACTCCTACACAGCCTAATCCCTTAGAGTAGGTAGATTTCTCCTGGGTACTTGCTCTTTCAAAAACAAAAAAACGACTTTTCGCACCTACACTTTCAAAAAGTTTTCAAACAAACACTTCATACACTCTTGGGGACTGATACAAGAGTTACCTAGAAGTTTTCAAAACAAACTTTTTCAAACCCACAAACACAAGAAAAGCAAACATTTTTTAAAACATAGTGAGCAAGTACCTAGGAGCCCGTGGATAACCACTGATAGAAAGGGTGCTAACACCTTCCCTTTCTATAATCTACCTCTCGAACCGAGAAATATCTCGAAAAGGAATTTTGCTGTGCTTTTGTCCTTTCCTTGTTGGATAACATAAAAGATGGTGGCGACTCTTGCTTACCGCGACATTTCGCGAACCAGCATTAAAAAACAGTCAGTTCTATTTCCACCGATCACAGAACTGGCGACTCTGCTAGGGATATTTATAAGTGAGGTGTACCTTAGGATTAGACCACTCTTATGTTTTCAATTGTATGCCTTGATTGCTTTTATATTTGTGGGCTTGCATCGGAGTTTCATAGATCCTAACCCGGATCTGGGGAATACCCTTTAGGTAGCATAAGCTGTGAGGGACCTGTCCGGCGTAGACCGACACGGGTGAAGCAGTAGCTACGTTGGTGTGACACCTTGGTCTGTACCGATATCCCTTGTGTTGGAACGAGGAGAATATGGGTCTTCTGAGGAGTCATTAAGCACCAACCGACCTTAGAACCCTAAATTGACCCAACTTGGCCATAGAACAGTAGCAGTGTGCTACACTCATTGAGGTTAAACTCTCGCGATGGTTTTGGCTACAAGAAAAGATTGCGACGCTGGAGTTATGACCGATTGAGGGTAGTCAGTGATATTGAGATCCTCTAGAACCCGGTTACTATTTTCTAGGACAGGTCTTAACCAACTTAAACTGAAAGAGGGTAGTACCTAAACTTCATGCTGGCCTAAACCCTAAGGGATGTCTTGTGTGACTTGTGTGCCTTACCATGTTTGCCTTTTGTGAATACTTGTGGTGTGCTTTATCATAACATCATACCATCATAACATTGCATGCATCCTGCATAAGGACTGACCCATTTCAAAGACAAGAGGGTTTCATCTTTTCTCTGTTTTGTAGGACATTATGATGCCCATGCGAAGGAATACTATCCGGCTCAACTTTGTTCACCCACCTGATTTTCTTAAAGAATTGGTTGATAGAATTCCAAATACTACTTCCTTCATCAAGAGACATGGTTCTCTTCTCGGTTTAGTCACTTCAAATTGGGACCAACAGCTGATGAGTGTCCTGACCCAGTTTTATGATCCGCTGTACCATTGCTTCACCTTTCAAGACTTCCAGCTGGTCCCTACCCTGGAAGAATTCTCTGATTTGCTTGGTATCCCTGTTTTGGAACAGACTCCATTCACTGGTTGGGAAAAGACTCTCAGGCTTGAGGAGATTGTTGCAGCCCTTCCCTTGACCAACAAAGAGGTAATGGATAACTGGGTGACTAGAAGTGGAG